TGGAAATGAGTGTGTGAGGGGGTATGATGGGGAATGAAATGTGTGTGAGAGAATAACAAACTGTGGTTTCGCATGAATTAGTGTTTGCACGTGCACTGTAGATCATTGGGCTGCATGCTGCTATTGACAAACACGGGACTCTCTTAGGTAAAAGTGCAAACTGGATTAGGATGCTTCGGGCTCGTGTGATGACATAAGGACACGCTATATTGTTATTGGCTGGGAGTGGGGGCGGGGCTAAATCACCCTGTCCATACACACAGCTAGGGGTGGAGCTTTGGTTTCAATGTTGGTATCAACCCCGAGCCCCGGCCCCCTAAACACACACGGCACTCCCACAGTACCGGTACAGACATGTCCACACCACCCATTCCCAAATCTACACCCTTAATAATGAGTAAATCAATATTAATGCTAATGCTCAATAAAAGTTCCATACAACTTAAGATCAATCACAGTTACATGACGCCACTTTCTGTGACTGATTGTCAGGACCGGAGCACAAGCACACAGCCGTAAAAACACAAACTGGGATTTACTGAAATACAAGAGAATTCAACAGCGCAGGCAGGCAGATAAAAGACAACACAGTCAAAATAACAGGACAACTCACCGGGACAGCAGGTAAGTCCAAAGCAGCCCGTCCAGTAAGGGTAATCAGCGAAACTGCAAACGAGAGTCCACAGTTAAATTCAGTCCATGAGAAATCCACACAATAATAATTCAATGAGAATTCACACACACACAATGAGAATTCACACACACACAATGAGAATTCACACACACACAATGAGAATTCACACACACACAATGAGAATTCAGAAATGGTAGGAAGGCTACAAGCGGCGTGTTTCGTCAGCGCTAAATCTCCGATTTGTGAACGGCCATTTGGCAAGTGTTTCCCAACTTCTGGCCATAGGATAGTTTAGAACAACGATTAACCATCTGGGTTTTTCAACTTTCATCCAGCAGCAAAGATCAGCCTTTAAGCTGGAAAGATATAATAATTTGACATTTATTACAAAAACTGTCAATATTGACAGAGAGGGGCGCCACGGGGCGGTTAGGATGATTCCAAGGGCCCCTCAGTGACAGGGGGCCTAATAAAATTGGAAAATAACTGGATTGGTCTAGACTGGGGGCCCAATGTGATATGCCTTCATGGGACCCAAAATCTCTAGCAACGCCCCTGTCGACAATTGTGAATAATTTTTACCCTGGTGTCATTTCTGCCCGTATCGCCCAGCTTTACCAAGGAGTCATACTTGCCAGCTCTTCACCATGCACTGTGGTGGAGGTGTAAGTGGGACAATTGGGGCAGAGCTCAGTGGTTTACAGACTCAGCACTAGGTGCCCATGTCGCATCTCACAGTCAAAATGAGGACTTATGTTCTCCGCAAGACAAGGATCTTTGATATTTACGGGGTCTATCCTTTGAAATGTACCGGCCTGTGTCTGTTTTCAGCTAATAACGTCATGGTTCTGTTGTCAGGATGTATGGAGCGTGAGAATTTTGCAGTGGTACTGTGCTACAACTTCAGTTCTCTGATGACTGTTTTATGAGCTCCTTGACTTCAGTTCAAGAACTTCCATTGGCGGTTACCTGGAGTTTCCAGCTGCTGCAGCCGCTTCTCTCCAAAGAGGTGAGGGGCTGATGATGAAAATGACACATGTGGAATGAAACACCAGATCAGTGGCGCATGGGGTTCCTCGGCACGACCAGGCGCTGGAGTTGAAGGGACGGAGGGGTTTTTACCCTGACGTCGGCATAAATCAGCCCCTCTATCGCGGGCAGGTGAAAAAACAAGCCGGCAAACAGCAGGGCTCCCCGGGGCACTCTTACGAAAGGGAGCGACAAGGGGGAAATCCATTAAGCAAAGCGCTAGGAAAATATTTCAAAATAGCCTCGATGCTTTATGACAGGGAGTTAGAGCAAATCCCCCACTCGTGTGTGAGACTGGCGTCCAGTCCGCAAGCTATGGATCTACATTGGATTCTGCAGAAGGGGCAGAATTAGCGCATTTCACAACTGCAGGTCTACATTAACTGAACATAAAAGCACGGGTCCTGACATATGATAAGCATGTAGGTTTAACCACATATCTGCCTGTACACCACAGCAATTAGTTAACTACTTTTATTAGTATTACCCCAGATCAGCTCCCCACAACAAAGGGGAGAGTAGAAATATACCCCATTCAAGCAACAGTGCCACCTGGTGTTGTACTCCCATATTTATCCTTAATCCTGTTGCATACCCGTATACAACATCCAGACAGTCTGACAAAGCCCAACGCAAATAAGTCCAAATGCTGTTTTTAGATCAAAGTGTGTCCTTAGAGCACATCGGTTGTCACAATATGTGCTTCCTGGGTTCATTCTCGAATTCCTTACCATTTTTTAGCACAGTTAATTAAGCCATCATTATGGGCCATTCTTTGCTTCCCTCTCCACTATTACACACGTCTTTATTGTCCTATATTTTTCCCCTCCAGCACCACTACCCCACAGTAGCCCCCAGATTCTCAAAATGCAGCTAAGGAAGTGGTTTGGGTCCCGACTATGGCAGGAGCACAGTTCTATGCGGCGGGAGCTGAAACCCAAGAACGGCACATTAAAAGTTCCACTAGAGTAACGGTTTCCGTGAGTAAGGATTTTGCGGTGGGGTCAGCGTTAAAAAAACTACGGCGATTCTGTTCACAGCGCCAATGTGGACGTGTTCATGCAGAGAAAAACCAAAGGCCTCCAGAACGCCCAAATACTGCCCTCTAGCGTTCGGACATCAGAAAGAATTTTTGCCTCTTAAAGGGTTTTACACATCCACCCACCGATTTTCTGTAACCGCTTGTCATATTCAGGGTCGCGGGGGTCTGGAGCCTATGGGCACAAGGCAGGGAACAACCCAAGATGGGTCCGCAACCCATCTCAGGGCACACTCACCTAAGGGCAATTTGGCAACTACAATCGGTCTCAGCATGTTTTTGGTCTGTGGGTGGAAACCAGAATACCCTCCCGACCCCCCAAAGACATGGGGAGGACATGCAAACTCCACACATGTAGATCAACGGAGGAGACTTGAAGCCTGCTCCCCGAAGTGTGAGGCAGCCGCGCTAACCACTGCGCCACCCTGCAGATCTAGAGTGCTAATGTATAAAACAGAGTTTCTCAATTGAGCGTTAAGAAACTTTGCAGAGAAAAAAATCACATTTAGATTAAGGTGTGACATATGACAGGCAAAATGACAAATGTCTCACTTTTGTTAGTTTAAAAGTGCCACCCGTTTTATTAATGCCGTGTCTGAAAGGAAGGAGAATGTGTATCGTGGTGAGCACTGCTGACACATAATCACTGCTTTTAATTTTAAGCATCGGATGTCAGCCATCTGAAAAGCATAGGATTTTCGATCTTAAGAGGAAAAAATAACATTTAGTGTTTCAGCTGAAATTCAATAATTTAAGAGATATTAGGCCTAGTTTCCTATGTGAGATGGACAAAACCATGACTAAAAAGGTTCGATTTGTAAAACTTTGAAAGTTAACCTGGAATAGCTGTAGTTGCGGAGAAGTGACCTGCCACACGGTGGCAGTAACACGCCGCAGTAGCTGCGCAACCAAGTGATTGATAAATACCTGATTTATGCTGAGCCCTATTACTTCACCTCTATCCATTCTGCTGTTACTTTTGTTCGCTGTTTATCCTCACATAATACAATACAAATAGCCTATCCAAGATATTAAATTGGATACATGGCCTATACATATTCCTTTCAGCTTAATTTTGGGACAGGTGCTGCTTAACATATTGTAGAAAACGTGACGGTTCATATTCATCTGTGAACTGTGCCGACCATGCAAAACAAAGTCTGTGACGGCTGAGGGAAACCGCTCTTATATAATCTTTCTTACAAAGTCCCAGGGCAACCAAATTCGTGGGTAGGCAACGTTTCAAAACCACACACAAGACATAAAAATACACATACTCAGATATTAATGATCTGTAACTTGATGTAACTTTTATACATTCAACAGTTCCAGCTAACCTTCTTTACTGCCGCTGCGATGAATGTCACAACGTGTCACCTCGCTGATGATGTGTAAAGTTATCGGTAGACGTCGGCAATGGTGAGTGGTGGGGGAGAGGATTAGGGGATGCGGTTTGACGGAGGAAGACGCCAGATTAGTCTGGTTGCAAGTTTACTGCAAGTTTAACGACGTGTTATTCACAGTCAATGTGGGCACGTTATTGATTGACTGAATAATCAATTTATACATTACATTTTTGCAGAATATTGGGTAGGCAGGGGCCTACCTAAATCGACTGACACAACTTCACTCCCCTGTGCCTGAGGGCGCCCTTCAGTAATGAAACGGGGCACAGATCGGCCAAATCACACCGACTGGGGATGGTACAGTGACACCATCATTTCAGATCAAACTCCCCACACATTTCTACGGAACTCAATGTCTTCCTCCTCCTAAGAACTGCAAAATGTTGTACATCACTGCTTTTACTCCAGAAACCCTAGATCATTTGTTTTGAAAGGCTCATAAAGCCGACAACGAAAATATGATCAGTGAAATCTTAAACTAATGTGCGGCCAATAAGCATCTTGAATTATGTATAAACGTGTAGCCTACTGCTGCACCTTACAGTGGCTGACAAAAAGACACAGTATGAGAAATTGCAGAGTTACTATATGGCCACTGGAGGGAGTCACACCATACTCCGCCATAATATCACGGCCACGGAAATTACTGTGATCGGTAACTGTGATAACATTTTTTTATTGGTTAAATGCATTGCATCATATAGGCCTAAGGCGAAAATAAGGCAAATCAGCAAAATCATATAATATAGGCCTATATCATGTGGCAGTGCAAGGCATGTTAATTAGCCCCCATTTGCCCCAAGACTCAAAGACAGCCATTGTGTCAGGCGCACTCATTCGCCCCGAAATGGGAAGGGAGCGGGGTGGGTCCCGCATGACAGGCACGGGGCAGACGGGGGCTGCAGCGATGAACGCGCAGGACACGGAGCGCATCGGTGCCTCACAGCGCATTATATTATGAATAAAAAGCGAGCAGAGCATGTAAAAAAAAAGCTCATTCACTTCGTTAAATGAGCACCACACGCACAGAAGGCTTGATCAGAGTGGATGCAAAGTTATTAACAGCTTTTTGGAAAAAGAGAGCAGCCGCCAAAGGTTCGAAACCTCTTTCTCAAAAACTGGGGTATGGAGCTCCATATCCTGACGTCACCTTCTGCTTGGTTTGGCGCGGACTTTAAGGCATTTCTGGTCTTCTCCGCATAATCACGAAACCTTATGTATGAGCACTAATATATTCTGGCTGTTTGAAATGGCTGTGGCATCGTCTCAACTGCGACGACGTGAATGCGTTTCTTATTATTTGTTTGTTTGTCTTGTGAACTGCAGACTTTATTGTGTGTTGCTCTTCTATTCAGCCTATTAAAAACACGAACAGCTTGCATTTGTATTAAAAAGCACAATCCTCTAATGTAATGGTGCCCTGGAATAACCATAATGATGCGCGCGTTCAGGGAGAAAGCACGCAGCCGGTGCGACGCACGCGCAGTTGCTGACGCGCACCGGCTGAAGGAAGCATGCGGGCTGCGCTGCGACATAAGCCGGTGAGGGAGGGGGGAGCTGGGGACTGGCGCTGCGGCTGAGGACGGCAACGCTGTGCCATCGTGCTGAAAGGCTGCATTAGCATCCCCGGCAATCAGACCACAAGGAAAAGGGGGAGGAGCGAGAAGGGAGCATGGCGTGTGAGGGGGCGGGGGGCAGCCTGAGAGGAGGGGTATCCTAGCAAAGCGCTGGCTGTTGTAGTAACCAGGCGCCCTGATTACTTTACTGCGGCGCTCGGATTCGGAGGGAGCATTTGCGGTCGTCTCTGTCCACCTCATCTCATCTAGCCTTCCCTCCTCCTCTCTCTCTCTCTCTCTCTCTCTATCTCTATCTGCCTCGCTCTGCCTCCCTCTCTCTCTCTCTCGCCCGCTCCATCTCACTCACTCTCTGGCCAGAGGACGTGCGGCTACCGGTCAGCGTCTCCAGTGCTCTGCGTCAGGAGGACACGGCCGGCTCCTCACGCTCTGCCTCTGCATGACTGTCACAAAGGTAAGGGGAATGGCTGGGCGGTGCGGCGCGGCACTCGGGGGGAGCAGGGGGTGTCGCTAGTGGCTCGCGCTCTGTTCGAGTGTGGTGATTCTGTGGTAGAGAGGCGCTGAGGATAGGCCTGGGACCCTGAGCACGCCCCCCCAGGGTCGATGTCACTTCACAGGGCATTTAGTGTCTAGGCTTGGATTCGCTTTGTGGGGCAAAGTTGTGCGGTTGGGTGCAGGATGTCATGTGTACCTGCGCGTGTGCATGTGTGTTAGTGCACAAGGTGTGGCTTTCTGGAGGGTGTATCAGGGAACGGGGGCCATGACAGGGAATGAGGGGTGTGCTGATTATGGGGGCTGGGGGTGGGTGTGTGGCCCCTGCCCTGACAGGCAGGCAGCTCCAGGACAGATGCAGATCATTATGTCTGTCTGTGTTTACCTCCCCCCCCCAGCTGGGGGCTGTGCATGGAGCCTGACGTTAGCAAAGGGCCAAATCCTCTTAACCGGACAGCAGGTGTGTCAGTGTGAAGCTCCTGTGAGTGTTAGGGCAAGCCAGCATGGGACTGCTGCTCAGCCTAAGGGCTGCCTCCTGTCTCCATGGATGGATACACACACACACACACACACACACACACACACGCACGCATGCACACACACACACCCGCTCGCACAAACACTCGCACACATGCAAACACANCACACACACACACGCTCGCACAAACACTCGCACACATGCAAACACACACATGCAAACGCACACACACACATGCATGCACACACATACACACACACATGCGCACACACACACACATGCACAAACGCACACACACGCATGCACACACACACAGGTTTGTAATTATATCTTTGTGGGGACTCTCCATTCATTTCTATGGACATAACCTTAATCATAAGTAACCAAACAAATTCAAGACTTTTGACATTTTTAGTTTTTTGATTGCATTCTCAAATCTTTGTGGAGACCTGAAATGTCAGACAGGTTTTTATTACATTGTGGAGAACTTTTGATCGTCAAAATGTAAGATAAACACAAAATCCACACACACACACACACACACACACACACACACACAGCATAGACACAACATACACCAAGCATACATACATATATACACACAGCATGCACACTGCATACACACAGCATGCACACTGCATACACACAGCATGCACACTGCATACACACAGCATGCACACAGCATGCACACTGCATGCACACTGCATACACACACATGCATAAAGGACAAAGTGGAGATGTGGTGGTCAGGCTTGGAGGGTGTTGTTCTATAAGAGTGTAGCACAGTTCTTGTGTGGAAATCAATCTCTCTGCATAATGGTGTGTAGATATACAACAAGCCTTAGGGATTACTGCTGAGAGTAAAACCTTTTCTTCCGGAGGCAGGTGCTTAGTTTCTGGTAAACGTCCCACAGTCAGACACTAACTTCAGCCATTCCTACAGGCCCATCTTCTTCCCGCATCCCCTTCGGGTCGCAGCATCAGTAGTGTGCTATTCTGAGCAGAAGCCTAGGAGAGGAGAGCAGAGGAGAAGGCTCCCATGTTTATGCTGTGGGGCTGCGGTAAATCTAGGCCTGTTTGCATGTTAGACAGACAGCAGCCAGCAAACGCAGTCAAAAACAGCATTTGAGCTTTTCACATAAGAGGGGCCTGTAAGGTACGATGGAAACGGAAGAGCGCAGCTAGATCTGAGCAGAATCCACAATGGCAGGATGTTGAGTGACCTGGAACCCAATGGCAGAGGGTTCCAGGGGGGCAGAGGTCTGCAGGATCGATGGCTGTGATGGTCAGATGATTGCGCCCCCCCAAAAGGCTAGGTGGTAGCACCCAGTTCCACTACACATGCTTACAGCTGATTGGGAGGATGTAAGGCCACTCCAACTGGGGCAGGGGGGGCGCTCTTCCCGCACAAAAACAACATAGTCACAGAAGTTGACCATGAAGGGCAATTTATGCATTTAATTTGGGTCTGTTTCAATCATGGCCTGACAAGGCCATCGTACATGGCAGCACGGGACTGACGACAGATGGGCGGAGTCCCTCAGGAACCACATGGCCACAAAAACCAGAGCGAATCATGGAGAACTTCTGTGAGGAAGCATGACTACCGAGGGGAGGTTCTTCTGGATATGGGGCTTCTGAAAGAATAGGCCATTGAGGAAGAGTGATCACACTCTTCACCACTTGACCTCTGAGACAGAGATTCATCCTTCTGGAGCCTTCCGGAATGTGTCATTTCCCAAGGGCAGCTGGTGGCAATTGTACCATCATAAGAACAGCAGAGAGAGGGGAGACATTCCAGAATATTACCAGGCCGACACGCTCGATGTCCCTGAGCTCTCAGATGGCGTTCTGAACATTTCACCAAATCCATGCTTCTTTTGTGTGGGATCCGATTAAACGCTAGTCTGACTGCTTCCGTTCCACTGCATCTGGGAGCCAGAGGTGGGTGGATGTGTGTGTATGCGCACATGTGCCTCTCTCCCAAGTGGAGTGTGAGTGTGTGAGGCAGAAGGAGCCCATAAACTCGTGGATGTCGCTGGAGGGGGGACTCGGGTCCACGCGGCTCCCCCGGACCCGAAACAGCCAGGCCAAAGCGCTGGAGATTGGCCTGTCCTCTCATCGTAACTAATCCAGACGGTGATATGACACAGTTTGAGCTTAGACTCCTGACTCAGTACAGAGAACAGGCCCAGCAGAGTGGCTGTATGAGCTGAGAAGACCAGAAACCGGCTGTCATGGGCACTGTAACGCAAAAAAAGCTGTTTACTGTAAATGTCCGGACAGTGGAACAGAGATGCATTGTTCAGTCAAGGCTAAAATGACAAAAAATGACACTGACATCTTATTTATGCACACTGGGGTGCCTTCGCTGGTGTGTAGTGTGGGAGTAAGGGTTAGGGTCTGCGTGTGTGTGTGTGTGTGTGTGTGTGTGTGGGCATGCTCACATGTTCAGATTCATGTAATGCATCTTTGTGAATGTGCATGTGACTGTGTGGGGGCAGGTGCTTATGTTTGGCTCTGAGTGTGTGTGTGTGTGTGTGTGTGTGTGTGTGTGCATGTGTGTGTCCACCCACGTTTAAATGTATGCAGTATGCGAACACATATATGCACACACACACAAACACACACACACACACACTTATCTGCATCAAGACACAGGCATCTAGGGGAGAAAATGCATACATTCTGAAATGTAAGGCGCTATTCAGCTGGGCTTCAGTAACCCAGTGAACTCCCAGTACGAGCCTGGGAGCGCAGTCAGCGTGAGTGACGAGCGCGGGGCTCCCACAGCGATCAGGGCCATGTGTGTGTGCATTTCCTGCTGGCTCAGGGACAGGACTGGGCAGCGATTCCCGGCGCTGACGGCCGGGCGGGAAGGAAGGGTCCCTGGGGAGGACAGGCGCGGCCGGTCGGGTCCAGAAAAAAATAAAACAACCAAAGCTCACAGTCACACACTTCCTGAAAAGAAGTGAGGATTCTTCTGCAGCATAATGGGGGGGGGGGGGGGCATTTCCTACTATCTTCCTGTCAGCTGTGGGCCCAAGTCACATAAGCATCGCTGAAACAATTCAGACACAAAGGGTCAAAATCGCACGTCGAAGTCTGCAGATTCTAAAGAACTATTATCAGTCAGTTATTCTGCATGAAAATGACAAGACAAAGACACCATTAAAAATTAATTATAAGTTCGCATCAACGTCGAACCCGTACTGTGGTTCTTCGTGACAGGCATTCCTTCCGTCACACTGCTTTATATCCATGGAAACTGGATGGGATGTGATACATATTCAGTAGAGTCCTGTATGCAGTGCAACCCCAGACCACAGCGGCGGTGTTTGGCACCCCCCCACCCCCCATGCGCGTGAATCACCGGGCCTGAGTGAGAGACAGTCACAGGATCACATAGAGACCCTGCTTACTCAACAGGCTCCGTGTCATAAAGATTACACTTCCCCCCCCCCAGGTCTCACAAACGCCTTTGTGTGAAAAATCACATAGATATGGAGCAAGGTCTGAGTGAAGATGTCATCAAGATTTTACTAAGATATTAAATAGATATTTCATTTAAAAGCAAACGATGAGGTCATCAACTCTCTCAGGCATATTTTTTTAAGTGAGGAACTGATGTTGGCTGTATAAGTGCAATTATAATCATACTTACACTTCCGATTTGCCTTCATAATCGCTGAACTGCTACAAAGCTGTTAAATGCACATTTTTCTGATGAATCAGCCGACGGATCCACGCACAGTTACGAAAGCTTATTGAGTCATCTGTCAGTGTGGCCTTTAACACTGAACGTACTGAGAAGCTGGCTTCAGAAGGAAGCCTAACCCTGCTTATGCACAGACACTGGGACAGCTCTGCTTTGGCTTCGTCCTGTTCCTGAGGAGGCCCCAATGGCTCCTTCAGCTTCAGCTTCAGCTTCAGCCTCCACCTCCGCCATGCAGATCTCTGAGCGCCAACCGCCTAAGGGTGGATGGGCCGAAGCATGGCTTACCCAGGCTGTTAGCGCAGTGCGTTAGCAACTGTACTTCTTTCAGTCTGCCTCAATGGAGAGGTGCGCTGTGGGGGTGTAGCCCCCCCCCCAGCAGGCCAGCTCTGGGTCACAGCTGTGAGGACAGCCCCCTCTTCAGGTGTGGTTTGGAATCTGTGTGCATTTCTGGGTCAGACTTCACAGACAAATGCGACACGAGTGGTGTGTGCTGTGCCCAGAGGAGGAATGTGTACAGCGCTACTCAAGGAACAGGAAGGAGGAATCCCCATGTGGATATGATGGCAAGGAGACACAGCCGGAGCAGGGGCGGATGCTGAGGTGCTGTGCTGGTACGCGATTGGTCAGCTTGAGAGGACAGGAGGACATTTGCTTTGTGGAGTCTCTCTGGTTTAGATTAGTGCCTGTCTATGGCTAATCTGGGCAAGAGAACAACTACATTTATAGTGGTTCTTTGGTCCCGAATTTGGTGCCTGCCAGAAAAAAA